GTGATGCTTATCGTAAGCCCTGACAGACAGACAACTTATCAGAAGTGATGAGACGAGAGGAAGGGGTTTTCAGAGATATGAAGTCGCCTTGTAAACCAACCAACTCCTTCCTCAACACAGTAACTAACACTCGGTGATGTCAGGCTCAGACTAAAGGGTTAGACCTACAGTACCAGTCAAAAGTTTGGACAAACCTAGTCATTCAAGGGTTTTTCTTTATTTTTTACTATATTCTACATTGTAGAATAATAGTGAAGACATCAACACTATGAAATAACACATATGGAATCATGTAGTAACCAAAAAGTGTTAAACAAATCAAAATATATTTTATACTTACATAGCCACCCTTTGCCTTGATGACAGCTTTGCACACTCTTGCCATTCTCTCAACCAGCTTCACCTGGAAGGCTTTTCCATAAGTCTTGAAGGAGTTCCCACATATGCTGAGCACTTGTTGGCTACTTTTCCTTCACTCTGTGGTCCAACTCATCCCAAACCATCTCAATTGGGTTGAGGTCGGGTGATTGTGGAGGCCAGGTCATCTGATGCAGCAATCCATCACTCTCCTTCATGGTCAAATAGCCCTTACACAGCCTGGAGGTGTGTTTTGGGTCATTGTCCTGTTGAAAAACTAATGATAGTCCCACTAAGCGCAAACCAGATGGGATGGCGTATCACTGCAGAATGCTGTGGTAGCCATGCTGGTTGAGTGTGCTTTGAATTCTAAATAAATCACAGAAAGTGTCACCAGCAAAGCAACCCCACCCCATTTTACATTTACATTTTAGTCATTTAGCAGACGCTCTTATCCAGAGTGACTTACAGTTAGTGAGTGCATACATTTTCATTACACCATCACACCTCCTCCTCCATGCTTCACGGTGGGAACCACACATGCAGTGATAATCCGTTCACCTACTCTGCGTCTCACAAAGACACGGCGGTTGTAACCAAACATCTGAAATTTGGACTCATCAGACCAAAGGACAGATTTCCACCTGTCTAATGTCCATTGCTTTGGCCCAAGCAAGTCTCTTCTTCTTATTGGTGTCCTTTAGTAGTGGTTTCTTTGCAGCAATTCGACCATGAAGGCCTGATTCACACAGTCTCCTCTGAACAGTTGATGTTGAGATGTGTCTGTTACTTGAACTCTGTGAAGCATTTATTTGGGCTGCAATCTGAGGTGCAGGTATTCTAATTAACTTATCCTCTGCTGCAGAGGTAACTCTGGGTCTTCCTTTCCTGTGGAGGATCCTCATGAGCTGTTCTTGCGATAATATGGACTTAGTCTTTTACCAAATAGGGCTATCTTCTGTATACCCCCCCTACCTAAGTCGCTCTGGATAAGAGCGTCTGCTAAATGACAAAAATGTAAAATGATTGGCTCAAACGCATTAAGAAGGAAAGAAATTCCACAAATTAACTTTTAAGAAGGCACACCTGTTAATTGAAATGCATTCCAGGTGACTACCTCATGAAGCTGGTTGAGAGAATGCCAAGAGTGTGCAAAGCTGTCATCAAGGCAAAGGGTGGCTACTTTGAAGAATCTCAAATATAACATACAGTGGGGAAAAAAAGTATTTAGTCAGCCACCAATTGTGCAAGTTCTCCCACTTAAAAAGATGAGAGAGGCCTGTAATTTTCATCATAGGTACACATCAACTATGACAGACAAATTGAGGAAAAAAAATCCAGAAAATCACATTGTAGGATTTTTAATGAATTTATTTGCAAATTATGGTGGAAAATAACCCATCACTCTGGTTCTAGAACTAACCCATCACTCTGGTTACCACAAAAAGCCAACTGACATTTACTCCTGAGGTGCTGACCTATGGCACCCTCTATAACCACTGGGATTATTATTTGACCCTGCTGGTAATCTATGCACATTTGAAGAGCGATATGGCCTTAATGGCCATGTACTCTTCTAATCTCTACCTGGTACAGCCAGAAGAGGACTGGCCACCCCTGATCATGTTGTTTCTCATTGACAACAGGACTTGAGTTTAGTGATTATGTTGTTTCTCATTGACAACAGGACTTGAGTTTAGTGATGTAGGCTGCAGTAGCCAGCGAAGCACCATCGTGAAGCCTAAACCATATGTACTGTTCATGTGACATGTGAGAGCAGTGGATCAGATCTGAGGCTGTATTACAGTTAGTGAATAATATCTTAATGCATTGTTCCATCTTGTTAGATCTGTTTTCACCAGTTCCCTGTGGACCTGCCCATTGACCTCAGTTAAATAATATCTTAATGCATTGTTCCATCTTGTTAGATCTGTTTTCACCAGTTCCCTGTGGACCTGCCCATTGACCTCAGTTAAATAATATCTTAATGCATTGTTCCATCTTGTTAGATCTGTTTTCACCAGTTCCCTGTGGACTTGCCCATTGACCTCAGTTGCCTTGGGTTCAGATTGTAACCAGATCAACCACATCTGTCACAAATTCAAACAAGTCTTTTGACCTTTCAGTAATTAGATTATATTTTATTGTCCTCCAAGGAGGCAATTCATTTCCACATGCGCGTACATAGACAGATCATATGAATGTTCTTCTCACCTTTAGTTAGATCATTCTGAAAAGATTTCTCATAGTGGGGTTTTCTGCCTTGTGGCCATAAGGAGAACAAACTAACCAAACCCAACGCGCACACACACACACACACACACACACACGCGCACACGCGCACACGCGCACACGCACACACACACACACACACACACACACACGCACACACACACACACACACACACACACACACACACACACGCACACGCACGCACACGCACACGCACACACACACACACCACACACACACACACACACACACACACACACACACACACACACACACACGCACACACACACACACACACACACGCACACGCACACGCACACACACACACACACGCACACACGCACACGCGCACACGCGCACACGCGCACACGCGCACACGCGCACACACGCGCACACGCGCACACGCGCACACGCGCACACGCGCACACGCGCACACGCGCACACGCGCACACACGCACACACGCACACACGCACGCACGCACGCACGCACGCACGCACGCACACACGCACACACGCACACACGCACACACGCACACGCACACACGCACACGCACACACGCACACACGCACACACGCACGCACACACGCACACACACACACACACACGCACACACACACACACACACACACACACACACACACACACACAGGACAAATTGAACAGACCCTTTTCCTGTCCTCGTTTGCAGTCTGTTCAGAGCTCTACCTCCTGTTGCCTGGCTGGGAATGAATCTGTACTGTAGATGGCAGGCTCACTGTATGGTACAATCCACTGCCGAGTCAATATTGATATTGAACCAGTCCGCAGCCTATAAACACAGTCTCCAGGAGCAGTGATCTGAACAGCAGAAACACAGTCTCCAGGAGCAGTGACCTGAACAGTTCATGGGGTTGCATGTTTTGTCACAATATTGTTTGAAAACGATTTTTACTAGCTAACGTTAGCATTGCTAGCTATTTTTTGACTAACTTTGCTAGCTTATGACAACATTGCCATCTGTCTGATGTAAAAATGTTCACGACATGATAATGCAGGCAAAGTTCTTTCGTGCTAAATATTTGACTACTTTCAGCAACGTCGTCGTATTTCCAGGCACCACAGTGTAGTTTAGAATAAACAGTCATCAGCCTCCGTCCAGAATGACTGGGGTTTATCACAGAATATAGGCCACCGCTATCACACTGTGACATTCATAACAATGGCATGACGCGGCGATCGGGTGACAGAAGTGCAACCTATGAATTGAAACAACAAAGGAAAAATAACAGGGGAATTCCACTTCGGAACTTCCATCAGGCCTCCGCCCGGAACTGGAATCTTTGAAAGATTAAAGAATCTTTGGAATCATTGTCCTTGAATACCAGTCGCTACTCCATACGCAGCTTCATCCTGTTTAGAATAGATGGTTCCAGTGTAGATTTCCAGTCCTTCTCCTACTTAGGTAGAATTTCACGTACAACCGTATAATTTCTTACATACAACTGATTTATAGAATCTCTGAGTACAAACCTACGTATGTTGCGATGCTGGAATCCAACCTCCTTCCCAGTCTCTCCCTCTCTGCACACAGGTACACAGGAGAGGGTTTTTCCACTAGGTTCTAGGGTACTGAATCAGGTGTTGCAGGTGTCTCTTTTATTGATGCACAGGTTCAAATGCAGACGTAATACATTCATGGGCCTCAGTGTGTTTTTACAGACAGGGTTTTCATAGAAAAACAACAACAACATCCATTGATATGCTGGCGTGATAAATCTATAGTCGAATGCCTGCATTCACTGTCTCAGATTAGACCTTTCACTGAAAGTACAGATATCTGGAGAAAACACGTTCTCTATGTGCTCTGGCTTACTTCAAAATAAAGTAATATAGTCCTGTAGGAGAGTATCGCTCCAGAGAAGCATATGGTATATACACAGTACACAAGAACATGTAGTACCAGCAGAAACAGAGGAAGCAGTACCAGCAGAAACAGAACATGCAGTACCAGCAGAAACAGAGGAAGCAAACATTCTCCCCAACTGAGTATTGGACAAGTTCAAAATTAAAAGTCAATCAACATGTTGACAGTAATCCAAGGCAGTTGAAGAAGTAGATAAACAACGTGGTCACAAAACCACAAACACGTTTTTCTCGTTGCGATGTCAGAACATGTCTAAGGGAATATGGCTACAAGCAGAGAGCGCTAAAGAGAGTAAAGCCAGTAAATGTGATATCAAGACGGTAAACGCAAGGCTGCGTGTACGTAGTCAAGGTAACGCAGGGCTGCCTGTACGTAGTCACGGTAACGCAGGGCTGTGTGTGCATAGTCAAGGTAACGCAGGGCTGCGTGTGCGTAGTCACGGTAAAGCAGGGCTGCGTGTGCGTAGTCACGGTAACGCAGGGCTGTGTGTGCGTAGTCACGGTAACGCAGGGCTGTGTGTGCGTAGTCACTGCCGGTCTGATTACTCCCTCAGCTCCTGCGGAGGCCCTTCCCCTGGATGTAATCATCCAGACCCGGTAGCTCTCCCATGGCCTTGTCCAGAGTCGCCCTCTCGGACAGCTCAACCACCTGTACAACCACAGAGGGAACAGAAGAGAGATGGTGTTAGCTGGAGGAACATGTCTGTGCTTCTGCTTCGCTTGCTCTTTTGGGTTTAGGCTGGGTAACTGTTCAACCCTTTGGGTTTAGGCTGGGTAACTGTTCAACCCTTTGGGTTTAGGCTGGGTAACTGTTCAACCCTTTGGGTTTAGGCTGGGTAACTGTACAGCCCTTTGGGTTTAGGCTGGGTAACTGTACAGCCATTTGGGTTTAGGCTGGGTAACTGTAGAGCCATTTGGGTTTAGGCTGGGTAACTGTACAGCCATTTGGGCTTAGGCTGGGTAACTGTACAGCCATTTTGGGTTTAGGCTGGGTAACTGTTCAACCCTTTGGGTTTAGGGCTGGGAACTGTTACAGCCCTTTGGGTTAGCTGGGTAACTGTACAGCCATTTGGGTTTAGGCTGGGGACTGTAGAGCCATTTGGTTAGGCTGGGTAACTGTCAGCCATTTGGGTTTAGGCTGGGTAACTGTACAGCCCTTTGGGTTTAGGCTGCGGTAACTGTTTCAAACCCTTGGGTTTAGGCTGGGTAAAACGGTACAGCCTTTGGTTTAGGCGGGAAAAAAAAAAAAATGTTTCAACCCTTTGTTTTAGGCTGGGTAACTGGAGAGCCGTTTGGGTTTAGGCTGGGAACTGTACAGCCCTTTGGTTTTAGGCTGGTACACTGATACAGCCCCCCTTGAGGGTTAGGCTGGTAACTGTAGAGCCCTTTGGGTTTAGGGGAGTAAAACGTACAGCATTTGGGTTTAGGCTGGGTAACTGTAGAGCCCTTTGGGTTTAGGCTGGGTAACTGTACAGCCCTTTGGGTTTAGGCTGGGTAACTGTTCAACCCTTTGGGTTTAGGCTGGGTAACTGTACAGCCATTTGGGTTTAGGCTGGGTAACTGTTCAACCCTTTGGGTTTAGGCTGGGTAACTGTAGAGCCATTTGGGTTTAAGCTGGGTAACTGTACAGCCCTTTGTGACAACAGTACTGCTGATGTAAAAAGGGCTTTATAAAATAAAAATGGATTGATTGAGGAACCTAGAACCTAGAACCTAGAAACAAGCTATTAAGGCCAGCCAATGACACATGCTTGCACAGTCTCGCTAAAACACACTGTGATCTTCTGTAACCACCTCTTGAGTGTTATTGATGCGTGATCACGGTGGATTAAGAGCTAACATGGAACCCACCTTTCTGCTGGCTGCCTTCAGTCTCTGCAGCTGCAGAATGGCTGCGTCCTTCGACAGCAGCTCCATGTCTTCCTCTATCTTGGACTGGAAAAATAAACAGAAGTTAGAAATATTAGGTTGTCATTCGTTACCTCACGCTGACTTGTCCCATGTGGTTGTTTATTTCAGTTGTGTATGTTTTATGTGCATTGTGTTTGATTGTCAGTCCTGAGTTTACCTCATTCACCAGCTTCCCAGCAGCATCCTGGTACAGCTTTTCACAGATCTTCTTCATCTGCAATCAATCAGCCAATCAATCAAATCTATTTAAAAAAAGCCTTTTTTTTTCTTCGTCAGCTGTTGTCACAAATTCCTTTGACAGATTAGTGTGAGAGTCTTGTACATGCGATAGCTGGATTACAGTGCAGTGTAACAGAATCACTGAACTACAAAAAGGCCCCACAGGAAATCCTGGCTGTGTTTGAGTCTCTACCTTCACAGAGAGATGGTTCATGCATTTACATAGTCCACGTCCCAGATGGCACCCTATTCCCTATATAGTGCACTACTTTTGACCAGAGAGTGGCACCCTATTCCCTATATAGTGCACTACTTTTGACCAGAGAATGGCACCCTATTCCCTATATAGTGCACTACTTTTGACCAGAGAGTGGCACCCTATTTCCTATATAGTGCACTACTTTTGACCAGAGAATGGCACCCTATTCCCTATATAGTGCACTACTTTTGACCAGAGAGTGGCACCCTATTCCCTATATAGT